GGCGGCCCGGCAGAGCCGCGCAGGGCCCGCCGCGCCGCCGGTCTCTGTGCCTCCGGGAGGCCCCAGATCACCGGCACACCTGGGAGGACTCTAGGTCAGGCAGGATGCGAAGGAGCATTTTCGTATAGAGGGAGGCTCTATAGAGGGACTTGGGAAATAACCCGGAGCGGGGGATTAGCGTGCGGTGTGGGTTGGTGTTCCCCGCGTCCCGTTGCCAGGGGCTCTGAGTATGGCAGTGTGCAGCAGCAGCGCTCTGTGCAGGCCTTCGCAGGCAGCGGAAGCTCAGGGACAGGGTCTTCTCAGCAGGAGTGCGGTGCTGTCGTGAGAGGAAGGCTGGGCCGAAGATTCCTGTGACCAGCGCGCAGACAGCGTAGGACAGCAGGTCGTACAGACAGCTGACGTGAAGGCGGGGTGAAAAGACAGAGAGAAAAGAAAAGTCTCATCCCTAACCAAGCAATGCCTCTTGCAGAGCAATCTTTTCACCTCTATGAAGGGGGCTGTATGGGACTGGGCTTAAGTTGACTGGGCTTCAACAGTGTATGGGGTTTGTTGCTGCACCTTCGTATGTGGAATAGTTAACAATAACTGAGAGGAGAGCAGGAGAATTCATAAAAGCCTCTCTCCTTTCCTCCCTTCTGCTTCTCCACTGCTTTACACACAGCTACTGCAGACCTGGCCGTAACTGTAGAACTTAGACCAGTCTGCATGCCTGGATGTGGTGCAGCGTACACTCAGTGAAGAAGCTTGCCCTGTGTTACTGTCTCTCCTTCAGTGTGTAAGGCTTCAGATATTGACAAAGGGACAGTGGCTGAAGGACAGTCACACTCAGCTTGCCGTAGGGAGAGACTCGTGTGAAGGCATTCAGAGCACAGATTAAACTTTCAGTATTCTGACTTGGTCTGCAGAAGAGCTGGCTCTAGGGGAGGCTGTTTCTCTCCATCAGCAACAGAGGGAGCTGATGAAAGGTTAAATGAGCCTTTGAACTGACTGACTTCTGCTTCCACCAGTGCTAGGGCAAAGTGGGTAAGTGGTTTACATGCCGCATGTACAAGAAGAGCTTCCTGGAAGATCTGGGGCTCTAAACAGGGTGCGTTTCTTGGTTAATAGGTGAAATCTTTAGAGCACAAATAAAAGATGCTGTTCAGTGTTCAGGGTGTGTCCCTACAATGCCATGGCTGTTGGTCAGAATTCTGTCTTTTGCTAAGCAGAATACCAGAGCTGTTCAATAATACACGCCCAGCTCTAGGAAACTTAGGTTCTAAACCAAGGTGAAGTCTTCCCTACTTCAGTTTCTAGAACAGAAAGTCCTGCATGCTTTCTCTACTGACTACACGTGAAAGCCTCTATGGTTCTGGGAAATCAGATACTGATTTCCTATGGAGTAGGATAATCTGACCTTTTTTAGAGATCTCATTTAGGGTAATATGAATAGTGTGGTAAAATGTCTCTTTCTCTTCACTGACAAAAGGAAGGCAAGGTGACTGGTTCAAATGTCAGTATTTGCATTGTCCCACTTAGTATGTCACATCTGCTTTTAGACTACTGCTACTATGAAATCAGTGCTATTCTGAAAAGTACTTGACAAGTTTCCTTGTGTATGTTTTTTAAAGGAATTGTTTCTGTTAAAATTGTTTTTCCAGTGATGCCTGAGAAACTCTCCACCACAAAAACTGCTGTGACTTTACATAGCAGTCATGGTGCAGCAGGCTTGGGAGGGAGGAGTACCAAGAGACTGGAAATGGAAAAGAAATGGGTGAGTAATGTACCAGTCCAATGCACAAGTAGGGTATTTGCTTTCCTGATGTGTTGTTGTGGGTTTTTTTCACCTTATCTTTGGCCTGGAATCTGTTATGCAGATACTATCTTATTGACATGAGAACAGTAATGTGAGGAGGTCCATTTAGGAAATGTCTGCTAGAGAAATATCAGGAGGAATTTCTTCACCATTTATCTCATTCAGCTTGTCTCCCCTTCCTCAAGGCTATTGTCCTGCCAGCTAAAATTGAAACCAAGATAGTGAAGTCCTCAAGATGCGTTTGTTATCTCTCAGGGAAAATGTGTATTGTAAGAAAATATGCATGAAAAGCATGAATGGCTCAGTTTTCCACTTATTTTAGTAACCACTATGTGTGAAGAAGATAATTTCTTCAGTTGTGCAGGATGTAGCTGTTCGTTCTGTCACGTAGACAGAAGGAGGTGCTAATGAAACGTTTGCCAAAAGGTAGCTTTCTGAGAATAAATTTTTTTTGTCATGACAACAGAAGGTTAGATTCTTGGCCAAAGATGAAAGAACACATGGAATCTTCCTAACATATGAAGCAAAGGCTTCGGATCATTTCCCATTTAGGTGTTATTTTCTGGTGCTGTACACTTTATCCCTTCGTTCTTCCTAGTGGATTCTGACACACGATTTTTTTTTTCTTTTTAGACATTATCCATTGTTTTTGGTCATCTTAAACTTATGCTCCAGCCACCCACCTCTTTCTGTTCACTGACTTCTTGAAAATTGACTTCTCATGTGAAGTGTGGTGATACTTGTCTGTATTAGTAGAAGTTATTACCATAACATTACACTCCAAAACACATGTCTATTTTAGTGCTATCTAATTGTGACTGTTCATATATTAAGTTGTAAACTTTCAGTCAGTGATGGTGCTTTTTCTTGTGCTTAGCTTTCCTTGATTGCACCAGTTGCAAGGTCAGTACTGGAGATGCTGATAGCTGTTTTCACATGGTTGCTTTTTTGACCATAACTCTTGAGTAAGGATGCTTGAGAGATGCATGCTCAATGTCCTTGTTTATAGTGATTTTTCATCCTTAATTAATATGATCGAGAAGTTTCTGTGAGGGTATCAAGCTCAACTTCTAAGAAAAGGAGGTAATGTCAGGACAGGAGGGCTTAACAGGCTTTTTGACTGATACCTTGTAATGATTGTACTCTTGAAGGTAATTTGATATGCTTTTACATCATTATGGAAGACCTTGTCCTCGGGACAATCACTTTCTGTTCTAAATAAGCAAAATAGTCTGGAAAATCCTCATTTCAACAGCAATGCTTTCTTTCTTCCCACCCCCTCCATGGTCTGATGGAAGAGAATTGTTAAAATACACATCTCAATGGGTATAGTAATCTTAGTTGAATCTACCCCACAGAGAAATTTAATAAAATTTTCTGTGAGATAAGAACTTTCTGTGAAGTAACATATGTAAAACATTCTTACTTAAAATGTAATGTCTTTTTAAAAGATGGGTACCTGTCATTGGCTTCACTCTCAGTTGTCGAGTCAGAGAATGGTTTGGGCTGGAAGGGACATTTAAAGTTCATGTAGTCCAACCCCCCTGCAATGAGCCCAAGGATGGGGCATCTACTGTGTCTCTGGGCAAGCTGTTCCAGTGTTTCACCACCCTCATTGTCAAAAATACCTTCCTTATCTCTAATCTGAATCTACCCTCTTTTTAAACTGTTACTCCTTGTCCTACTGCTCCAGGCCCTATTGAAAAGTCTGTCCCCGTCTTTCTTACAAGCACCCTGTAAGTACTGAAAGGCTGCAATAAGGTCTCCCCAGAGCCTTCTCTTCTCCAGGCTGAGCAGCCCCAACTCTCTCAGCCTGTCCTCATAGGGGAGGTGCTCCAGGCCCCCCCGATCATCTTTGTGGTCCTCCTCTGGACCCATTTGAGCCAGGTCCATGTCTTTCCTGGGCTGAGGACTCGAGAGCTGGAGACAGCACTGCAGGTGGGGTCTTACCAGAGCAGAGGGCGAGAATCACCTCCCTTGACCTGCTGGCCATGTTTCTCTTGATGCAGCCCAGGATGCAATTGGCTTTCTTGGCTTTGAGCGCACATTGCTGGGTCATGGCCAACTTGTCATCCACCAGTACCCCCAAGTCCTTCTCTGCAGGCCTGCTCTCAGTCCCTTAATCCACCAGCACCTACTGATAACAGAGGTTGCCCTGACCCATGTGCAGGACCTTGCACTTGGGCTTGTTGCACCACATGAGGTTCACATGGGCCCACTTCTCGAGCTTGTCCAGATTCCTCTGGATGACATCCCTTCCCTCAGGTGTGTCAACTGCACCACTCAGCTTGGTGTCATCTCCAAACTTGCTGAGGGTGCACTTGATCCCACTATATCTTTGAAGAAGATATTAAACAGTACTGGTGCCAGTATAGACCATGTGTCAGTCTTTGATTTCTACAGTGAAGTAACTTACTTAGAATTACTGTAATTTACAAGCCGGAATTCAGTTAGAACTAAGATATTCAGAGTTTTGCATCAAGGACCACAACCATTTCCTAAAAGTGTGATGTGGGGGTCTTTGAGATAACATTGTGGGATGGCCAAAACCCAAGTTCTTCCTAAAACTGTTTGGAAGTCAGTGCTGGCTAAAATCATACGGAAAATCTATTAATCTTCTTAGTTATAGTAATTAGTGACTGTTTAATTTGTGCTGCCTACTAGCATAAAGGGATGAGGTGCATTGAAAAGAAAATCTTCTCACATTCCAGTGAGTGTGTGTGGTCTCTTTGTGGGCCAGAAGATTACTTCCTTGTGTACACAATCGGTTTTCCACAGAAATGTCTGCATTTATTTTAGAGGGACACAGATCCAAGCAATCTGATTAGTTTTATGCCAGGGTGTCTATATGAATCATACAGAAAGTGCCTCTCAAAGCTGAAGGCCTGCTGTAGAACAGCTGGGATATGTAAAGGAGGAACACTTTTTTTCCAGCTATGTTTTTATAAGACATTTCTTATCATGATTGTGACAGGGTTTTGAAGAAAAGTAACACTTAGTGTGCTTGGAAGGATAGACTTCACAGACGTTGGAGGAAAAACATACTAATCTTAAGTGGCTGATAAAAACATCAGCTTCGTTTCCACATGACTGTAAATAAAGAATTATAGAATAAACAGACAACTGGCATCAGACCATTCAACTCTGTGAACACTGTGAAGAAATGCATATTACTAGGGATTGGTGAAGAGATTCATATCCCGTGTGAGCTGATCTAAGCCTTAGCCTGAATCTTGGCTAAAGGTCTAAGCTAATTTTTTTTGAAAAAAAAGTTCCAATAACAGTTCAGATCTGCCCTTTGTTATCTTTGTCTGCTGCATCATCTGTTTCTTTGACACATAAGGAAATGATAAAGTAATTAAAAAAATCTTATTCATTTGAGACACCTTATATGTATTTTTGGTTTGATACTGTAATAGTGGTTTAAGGTATGGTATCATGGGAGTCCAGACTCTGGGACCCTGGTTTGAGAGAGGACTCTGACATCTGGTAGATCTCATGGTGGAATCAATGGCCCTGCAGTATATTTACCACAAAACTGATCTTCTCTCATAGAGCAAGCCTGAGGTGTCAGACTTACTGTCTGTGTGCAGAAAACATGGCATTGTACGCTGGTAAAATTAGCCCAAATGCCAATTCAGAAGGGGACGAGAGGGCACTAAGGTTTGGCAGGCAACTTGTCATAGCACCTACAGAAGTACAGGCCTGGGACCTCTTCTGCTGGTAAGATGGCCTTGTTCAAACAGCCTTGTTAAAATTTGTGTGATCATTAGCAGTGAATTGGTGTTTTATGGAAGGAAAGATGGTGGCTCAAGTTAGACCACAGACATTGGTATTCTGTATTTGTGACTGATCTCCCATCCAAGAGACAAGTTGTTTTGAAGCTTTTATTGAGCCCTTTGATGGGAGTTGTGTTATCTATGATGCTCAAATACATTTTTCAACAGATTTCTTCATTCACTTGTGTTTTCATTTCAATGTGTTGGCAGAAATGGCCTTCTCAGCATCCAGTGGTTTGGGAGGTTGGATATAGCATTGCAGAAAGTGGAGACATGAAAGTCTGTGAAAATACGAATTGCATCTGGAAAGGTATGTTCCAATATATGTTATTCACCTACACTGGGAAATCAAGTGCATCTACCTGTTCCAGCAAGTGTAAGAGAATAATACAAAGTGTCTGAGATCTATGCTCCTTAGGGCTATTTCTAGAGTTCCCACTGCCTGTGAAGAGATAGTATTCCCCCTCTTCTAGTGTGGTTAACCTGTAGTATTTTACTTGGCTCTCCTTTCGGCCCCATCTGATCCGGTGATGGCCGTAAAACATTAATTTCCTTTCAGCTTTTCAGTTTTGGAACCCTATAAATGATGTACGGTTGTGTTGCAGAATGGGTATAGGATATGCATCATATGGAGTGTTGGGTACATGAGAGTACAAGACATGCAGAGATGATTGGTCTTGTTGCTCCTACCTGTAAGGAAAGGTACCTGGAGCAAACTGTCCCTAGCACTGCCTCTAGTTTTATCTGGAGGCAGGGGAATTGGTTAATTTGCTCCAAAATATATCTTAGGAATGAAAGTATAAGGAAGTGTGAATGATCAGGCAATTGGAAAACAGGTGGGATGTGAGGAGCTAAAATACAGATACTCCCAGCGTTATTTTGAGTATGAGCCAGTTCATTAAATATCAGACCAATATTTTTTTGTGTTCTGTCTTGGACAGATGATTTGTTTTGGTGATCTGTCTATTTCTGTGTGTGACACGTTCTTGCCAGTCAGGTCCTGGTTCACACTCATGTAGAAACAGTAAGAAACAGCTTCTTTATGAATATGAAGTTTAGCTCCTGTAGAATTTGGGGGCTATGTGATAGATGTGTATATTTCTTTCTTGCTCATCCATGCAAATAAGGCTCATTTCAGAACAGTCAATAGCAACAGTTTAGGGATTAGTCACAGTGATTTTTTCTCTTGGTGGCAAATGAATACAGGTATCAGGAATACTGGGTTTTATTCCACCCACCTACTTGTTGATCAAGTGGTCTGATGTGACAGTACTGACTACTTACCACTTCCTGAGTCTCATTTTGAGAAGTGACATAGGCATGTGAGAGCCAAAATCCTATCAAAAGCCAGTGATATCTGCTAGTACTTGGGCAAAATTACACAAAATGGCGTAAGGAATCTTAATTTCCACTAATTAAAAAGCCTCTTGTGCACATTCATGTGTCTGTGATGTAGGTGACTAGAGCTGAAACTGTGATCAGTATGAGTTTGGGGTAGATCAATTACGAGAGAAGAGAAACCTGAAATGAGTAATGGAGATTATGTGATCATTTGTATCTCACTGCTCAATACCAACTACCAAGGTTAAAGAAGAAAAAAATTTTCGGAGTGTTTCAGAAGTGTTGCCATTCATCCAACTGTTACAATTAAGTGCTTTAATTTTCCTGAATTGTCTTGCTTTGCTGGGTTCAGAAAGTGTGGTGAAGTTTTCAAAAAATAACCAAAAATCTAGAAATACAGGTTTTTCTGTACAGAGAAATCTCATTTCAGTGACATTAGACCTTTTTAGAGTTAGAATGCAGTGTTGCGTATCCCATTGGGCAGGTCTGAGAAGGTCGTTCCTGCAAGCCTCCTTGATTTTTTTAACTCTACAAAATTTTAGATACAGAACAAAATCACTGTGGCCTGCTTCTTGCTCATCTTCAGTCTTTACTTGGAGAGGGAGAGGATACCACAGCTGAGAGGGGAAACATTTGTTGTCTGGCAGAAATGAATTTTGGATTAGGGGTAGGAGTAGGGAAGGACTGTGTGAAATAAGTTCTCCACAATTTGTCATTGGACTTCCATATAGGATGTTTATCTGTGTATTTAAGTTACTGAGTACAAAAACTGTCAGCATTGAATTTTTTTGAACGGAGAAAGTTCAGAATAATTTTCTGCTCCTGAAACTTTTGATATTAATTCTAAATACTCCTCTATAGAGTATAATTCAAAAAGGTAGTCAAAATGTAGAGAAAAGCGCAGAAATGTGAATCTGCAGGTTTCTGCTCTGCACATGACGGCAAGATAATTTCTTACAGATAAAAATCTAGCAATAAATGATTCATAGTGCTAATGATCCGTCTTTTTTTCCTGTGATGTTTAGGAGTCCTTTCAGCATAATGTAGATAATGACCACAAAGGATGACTCTTGTGCTTGCTCATACTTGTATTTGCTTTTGTTTCTTGCTTATGTGTTGTCACAAGCTTAGTGTGCTGTGATAAAAGTGTGTGAGCTTTAAAAACCTTTTCCTGTGGGTAGCTATTGATGGGGGAGACCTTTTGGAAGGAAATGAACAGCAGAAAGCAAAAAAGTTAATTGCCATATGAGTGGGTTTTGAAGTGGGAGAGGACATATGAAGCATCCTGCTACTAAGAGCTTTTGACAGAAAACTAAGGTGAAAAAGGCTAAATCCCCCATGTTCTGTATTAAGCTGTGGTACAATTTAAACAAAACAAAGCGGACCCTGTTCTCTGTTCTAGTTGACTAAATCCCTGGAGATTTGAAAGAGATAGTAAAAGGTGACTTTCAACTAGTTTAGTGTACCTAGTGTTTTGAGCCTACCTGGGGTAGGTTAGACTCTTTTGGTATTCTCTGGACCATAAAGAGACAAATACAGTGAGAATGTGAAAGGCTTAGGCCTGAGAAAAACCAGTGGCGTTTTGCATTACTGATTTGTGTGTGATGAATCTTCAAATACAGGATGCCGAGGGGGGACCCAGCGTGAGTTTAGAGCTGTTACCACCTTGAAGCCTTCGATACCATTGGAACCAGAAGTAAGGCTTCATATTACTGGCTTGCGCAATGATTACTGTAAGTTAATTTCTCCTGTGTGGGTTTTTTTTTGCAGAAATTGGGAATTCTTATGTATATTTCGAGAAAGATGGCAAAGGTCTGTCCCCTTCACATAAAATGGAAACTCTGCAGGACATATGCATGATGTTATTTTTCTCATAAGGATGCATCTTTGCAAACTGCCTGTCCCAGGCTGGAGAAATGACTGATAAAAACCCTGGAATCAGTACTACCTGACTCTCATGCAGTTTCCTTCAGCTGTAGATCTCAATACAACTTTCAAATCAAACCAATATACTTAACTCTGCTTAGTTAAACATTTCAACTGTCAGGCTTGGATATCTAGCAGCCAGTCAACACTGCAGCAACCTTATTGAGCAGACTTTGAAATCTCTTGTTTTGGGAGACATAAGTGACGTTGTTTATGGTTTGAATGATAGATACCTTCTGAGCTAAATTCTCACTTTACATCTTTGGTGCTGCACAGGCAAAAATTAAACATACACAGGTTACACATGAACACACACAGATCTCTGGTATACAGCAGCAAATACGTGTTTTAACAGTTCATAAGATCTAATGAGCAGCTCTGTATGTGCAAGTGTTCGTAATTGTCCCTGTGGAGATTTTTTCAGCATATTCTTACAAGTGTTCATGTTTATCTATGAATAGGACAAAAGTTTGTTTGATTTACACTGATTGTGCACAAGGTATGTACCAAGACTAACAGCATTAACAGAAGTCTTTGGAAGTGATTTCTGGCAGCAGCAACCAGGACTGTAGTCAAACAGCTGACTGATAGATTCAGCTGTTCTTCAGAGTGATTATCGTTACCGAAATGTGATGGCAGACCTTGGCCTATGATAACAATCTTCTGTGCTTCAGGGATCATGCAAAATGACTTTTAAGTTTCCCTAAATGGACAGCTGAGGATTTCCCTTGACATGGGAGAATGTCCTGGGTTGGTATTAAATGTTGTACACCAACTTCTTCTGTCTTGCCTGACATAGCAGGCTGTTCTGATGCTAATCACTGTAGTGACTTCCTTGCCAGGATCTGCAAGTGCAATGTGCTCAGCATCAGGGGCAGTGGAAACAATATTTCTATCATATGCTTGCTGAGCAAGGTCTGAAGGTGAGGAGCAGAATTCCCCTAATTCCTTTCTGCACTTTTTTTTTCCTGTCGTGTTCAGGTTGAATGTTGTCATTAACCTGAGGATGTAGGACAGACTGTAGCATATAGCCTCTCCTATGTCTTTCTCAGTGACAAGAATTACCTTGGATCAAGGGTGTTTTTGGAACTGTAGCTGTTGGTGGAGGAGCCTCATTTCTGGTGGCAGAAATTAGGGTGAATGTTGTGGCAATCCAAAATGCAGGGTGATAGATTAAAAAAATTCTAGTCAGGAAGCTGTAAGTCAGATCCTGCTGTACAAACATACCAGTTTGTGGAGATTAGATTTATGAAGGCCTTGGCTTGTTAGAGATAGTCTCCTTCACGTAGGAGGAATACTTGCTGGTAATGGTTTCACAGAAGCATTGTCTTGAAATTTTTCCATAGCTGTTAAAAAAAGAAGGCCTCTCTCCCCCAAACCATAGCCCCCTCACCCCATCCTATTACCTACAACTTTTTTGCAGTAATTTTTAATAGCTTTCTTTTAGATCTAAACATACTGGACTGGAGCCTTGAAAATCTCATTGCTATTGCTGTAGGATCTGCTGCACACATCTGGAGTGGAAGAACCCTTCAAGCCATTGAAAGCATTGATTTGAATTCCAGTTCCAAATATATTTCTTCTCTGGCTTGGATAAAAGAAGGAACTTGCCTTGCAGTTGGCACCAGTGATGGAGAAGTGCAAGTACTAGATAATTTACCTTTTTAATCTTTCTCCATTTTTAGCTAAAGTGGTCACAAGACAATTTGATACTGATTTTTTTTTTTAAGGAAAGGAATGAAAAGAGTTGGCTAAACTACAGAAGAACTCTGCTGGAGACAATATATAGTACTTCCCTGTATTATACTGCACCTCCTGAATGGCTTAGTGACATCCAGTGTTATCGATGTGTAGTGGAGCCTCTGGAGCCACTAAAAAGCTGATGACGGAATTAATGATTCAGTGGTCCAGAGAGAATCAGATTTTTTTTCCACTAGGAAAAGGAACTCTTTTATTAAATAATTTTACTCACCACAGGCTATTTTTTCTTGTATCTCTCTTGCTAAGATCGCTCTAGTGATCAATGCCTTGGGAACTCAGTCTAAAACTCTCCTTATGGATTCACACATAAAAATTTGACTTCATTCTGGTTATACACGTCTCAGTCTGCTGTTGTAGGACAGTCCTATTATCAAAAGATTTTTGTGGGACTTTGGCTGAGATGCTCGATAATATGGGGATCTACCTGCTGCAGTCCTGAGTCAGCAATCTGAAGATAATTGAAGGCCAGTCCAGTATGGACTTCCAAATACTGATGCGTAAATAAATAGCTTTAAACTCAGAGATGTGCATTCCCTTCAATCTTGTCTGTCTTGAGCATCACTGATACAGGTGTCAAAATTTGGCGATACTCCTTCTTGTCTTACTTGTGAAATAAAGGAGCTTGAGATTGTCCATATGTTGATCAGAACTGGGCAGTGGCTTACTTGCAAACAAATGAAGAGAACAAAAATATTTATTTTTGTTGTTAAATTTATATTTATTGTTTGTTTTGGATTGGCAGCTGTGGGACATTGAAACCAAAAAGAGGTTGAGAAATATGTTTGGTCACCTGTCTGTAGTTGGAGCTTTGAGCTGGAATCATTATATTCTGAGCAGGTGAGTGGTATAGTATAGTCCCAGAAAGAGTCCTGCTGCTTTTACTTAGACAAATGTCCCATTAATTTTAGCTGTTTTCCTTTGCTTTGCTCAAAGGTGTTATATCCTGTCCCTCCACTTATCAGCCATCTCAGAGATCATGTGTAGATACACTGTATGGCAGGAAAGCAGACAGAGAGGATTTAGCCTGCCTCTTTGGTCTCTGTTTCTTACTCTCCTTCCAGAAAACTCATGACTTGCTGAATTGCCCTAGGATGTGGAGGCTGTGGCTCTGGTTTTGTGGAAAGCCTGATCTTGAAATGGTGGTGTCTCCAGTGGGTCTGGACTCCAAAAATTATAGCCTGCCTGATGCTGGAGAGGGCATGTAGTTTAGACTGCCCCTCCATTGGTATCAAGACTGATCTGTCTTTTCAGATGCACAGCGAAACATGGCTCTTACAGAGTTCCACACCTATCTAGCTGTGTATCTACAAGGGAAGGCCAGCTCATTGCTATCCACGGACCCAAGGAGGACTGAAGTGATTGACCTTTGCTTTACCGAGGATGCATTTTATACCAGCTGGTGAATATTTTATATTTAGGGATCATTTCAATATGGGAACTCAGATGAGAAAGATCAAGTGTACTCTCTTGTGGTTTTTTTTCCCTCCCACTTTCTGTTTCAGATCTTTGACTCACACTTAAAGGGGCTGAGGGGAGACTTCCTTATGTTGGATGCTTCTACAATTTTAAAATCATATGATAGTCTTCTGTTTTACTTAAATGCAGAAATAATAGCAAAGGTGGACTGACCTTATTGTTAAACTCAGTATCTCTGGATAGGAACACCAGACACAGTTTTATTTTGATTTCACAAGATGCTCTGGCTTTTGATTGTATTAGGTCTGGTAGGTGGAGTGAGATACAAGGGATAGCAGCTGAACAACTGGTTAATAAAATGCTGTTGCTGGAGTAGGTGTGCTGGGTGGGTTAAGCTACAAAGATGCAGCTGGAACATCCTGCCAGTGCCAAGTGACAGAACCTTGTTAGAGTAAGCATTAGTTTCAGTTTGCATTTTAGATTGGCCAAAGGAGTGAAAACAACAGAAATTTAAATTATGAATCTCTCTGAGTAGAACTTGATGATAAAATTCAGCATGGACCTGTGAACTACAGTTATGGTCGACAGATTATGTTGAGATAATGTTTATTTCTCTTGCTAGATTCATGCTAGCATTAGGACAGAGTTAAAATATCTGTATCAGTAGAAAAAAAGACATGACGTTAATATTAATTGTTACTAAAATAAGAGCAGCATTCTTACACTGAACTTCACTATGGACAATTAATACTTTGGGATTACATACTAATTCCTGTGGTTAAAAATAGTCCGACAACTCATCGTCATGAATCTGTAAATAAATTTAAGTACCATAAATTAGCCCATCACAAAATTTTGTTGGCTTCTCTTTGTCTTTAGCAAAACAGATGCCATCTTCTGTGTCAAAAGCAAATCATTCTGATTTCTTTTTATGCCAAATGGAAAAATGTCCTTTCAGCCAGCATTCTGAGGAGCCCAGTTCCTTCCCGCTCATACCACTAGAATTACTGAATATTTAATTGAATACTTAATATGGTCAACACTGGCAATTCAATTCTATTTCTTGTGGTGTGATGGGTTGACCTTGACTGGATGCCAGGTGCCTGCCCAGCCGCTTCATCACTGCTCTCCTCAGCAGGATAGTGGAGAGAAGAAAATAAGATGGAAGAGAACCTTGTGGGTCAAGATAAAGGCAGTTTAATAAAGCAAAAGCAAAGGCCACGTGCTGAAGCAAAGGAAAACGAGAGATACATTCTCTACTTCCCATCAGCAGGCGATGTCTAGCCACTTCCTGGGAAATAGGGCCTCAGTACACATAGCGGTTGCTCCAGAGGACAAAAGTAATAATGAATGTCCCCCCGCCTCCTCCTCCTTTCTCTTAGCTTTTATTGCTGAGCAGATGTTGTATGGTATGGAATATCCCTCTGGTCAGTTGGGGTCAGCTGTCCTGGCTCTGTCTCCTCCCAAGATCTTGCCCACCCCCAGCCTCCTGGTGAGGGGGGAATGTTGGAGAGACAGCCTTGATGCTGTGTGAGCCCTGCCTAGCAATAACCAAAACACTGGTGTGTTACCAACACCTTTCCAGCTACCACTACGCAGCATAGCACTATGAGGGCTGCTGTGGGGAAAACCAACTGCATCTCACCCAGACCCAACACACTTGGTTAGATTTTTTCCACTTCTTTGTGTTAGATTCCACATTAGCATAAGGAAAAACTTTTTCACTGTGAGGGTGACAGAGCACTGGAACAGGCTGCCCAGAGAGGTTGTGGAGTCTCCTTCTCTGGAGACATTCAAAACCCGCCTGGACGCGTTCCTGGGTGACCTACTCTAGGTGGTCCTGCTTTTGCAGGGGGGTTGGGCTAAATGGCCTTTCGAGGTCCCTTCCAACCCCTAACATTCTGTGATTCTTCTTATTATTTAGTAGGCAAAATCTATATAAATCTTCAGGAGGCAAATGATGATGCCTTTAAATATAATGCACCGATTCCCATGTATTTTCCATAAAGATGTCCTTAATATTCACTGGAGCACTGCTTGGTTGGAATCTTTCATGCTTTTATGAACTTTGTGAGATTGGCAAGTTCATAATGCAAGCACAACAGAATGAAGTTTCTTGAAATCAGTCAGTTTTGTGTGTGCATTTTTAGAGCTTCCAAGTCACTCAACTTGCATCTGAAAAATCTTCAAGAGCCAGTATGGGAAAGTCTCTAGTCATTATTGCTTTAAATTAATCTGTTGCTGTAATGTCAGATATCTGTTTCTCAGATACCCAGAAAGATGCTATTGAACTTCCTGATTTTTTCAGTGTCATCCTAATAGTTGGGAGTGTGAATTTCCAGCAGGAAGATCTTCTGTTTTGTCATGGGCTTAATGTAGGCAATATCTTTAGAAAGACAGGAAAAGAAAATGCACTGCAAGGTATTTTCAATATTTTCAGTTCGACTCTTAATATTGATGTGTACAACCTGTATCTGGGAGCTAAGTTGCAACAGTAGCTGTGCTTCTAGGCAGGGTTTTTCTTCCTTCCTTTAGTAGACTGATGATATGCGCTGTGGAACCGTGAATCCATTTCCTAACAGGCAATTAGTGCAACAGTGTCAAGCTGTGCAGATTTTGTTTAAGCCTAGAAATGGGAGGGAGAAAGAAGACAAGGGAAGGGACAGAACCAAAGAACATACTGTTTCTTGCTAGTAAGCCCTTTGCCAGAGCAATGCAGTTTCACACTGGGTCTTTGTTTGGCATGGAGTCATATCTGGCCTTGGCAAAAGTCACCTTGCAAAAAGATTTTTCATTAAGAACAGGAAATAGTTTACATTAAATGGCTTGACAGTTGAACAGGGTGCAGATTAGTGGCATACAATGCAATGTATCTTCAGGGACATGAAAACCATGAGAGAGAACAGGTACTCTGCCTGGCTTGAACTGAGCAGCTGCTTGGCTCCGTTCTGTCGTCAGCCGCCTCTGCAGTCAGGGTGTGGTTTAGATAGTTGGTTTGTGTTTCCTTTTACTGAAATTCTGTTCTACAGATGCATTTCACTCTGTTGTGGTTTGCTCTTGAAACCACTGAAGAAACATCAGTGTGATGATGGCTTTTCTTCTTTAACATTAAACCCATGTTGTCTTTTCCCATCTACAGTGGTTCACGACTAGGAACTATTCATCACCATGATGTTCGGGTTGCTCAGCACCATGTTGGTACCCTTTGCCAAAACAAACAAAGCATTTGCAGCCTGAAATGGTCACTAACCAACCAGTTGCTGGCAAGTGGGTCTAGTGATGGTATATTGAATATCTGGCCTAGTGACCCTGGTGTGAAACTGCAGTCACAGCCACTGAAAACCATACCTCATTCCTCAGCAGTTAAGGTATATGGAGAAGGAGTGTCTGCTTTTCTGTGTTTGCTCTCTTGAAATCACATTGTTAACATGGACAGTTAGGGGATTTTTCAAATTCTGTCACTGATATCTATTAGTTTCTTCTCGCTTTCTGTGATGCAGTTAATTTTAAGACCAATTTTCCTTATTCCAAGTCACAGATAAGTTTGCTAGGGCTTTGATTAGGAAATTTTACTGGATTAGTAGGCCTTTGTAAGTAATAATGCCAAATAGAAATAAAATTTACAGCCACCTTCTCTGTCTCTCTCCCTTGCACAGCAAAGTTTGGTGGTGCAATACTTAAAAGTTAACAAACAAGATCTTTAAAGTTTTAGAGTTTTGGAAAATTCTCACTGCTGCAACTAATTTAAACGTGAGGTTTCTTTTGCCCTCCTGCACGTATTTTCATGTCATTGCTGGTAGGAAATACTCTGAAGTAGGAAATTGGAAATGAGACAATTTAAGATTAATCATCTTTATGAAGTCCCAGGCTGTGTGGGAGAGAGGACAGGTGTTAGCAATATGAGGCAGGGGAGTCCACCATGTATAAGCTGTTTATCCTCCCAAAAGATTCCGAGGCTGGCCTGAAGCACTAGGGTTAAATGGTCAGAGTACTTTATTGAAACAGGTCGAACTGAGTTCTTAGAAGATTTTCTTCAGGAATAGTCTGGGCCTTAGGCATATCCTGGAAATATCTCAGAAGAAACCAGGTCTCTTGTAAGCACTGTAAGTCACGTTGCTTAGGCTTCTGTGATGGCTTGCCTTAGGCAGTAAGACTCCATCCTGCTGGGTTCTTCTGTTACTAAGGTGTGAGTCTGTGACCTGTGACGGGTAAGCAGAGAAGCTGGAATTTTATGAGCATATGTGGGACAGCGTAGGCTACTGTGAAGCAGTGGCAAGGGAAGCAGCATTTGGAGTTTTGGGATCCTAATTACTGTGGGTGTACATTCTGGGTGCTTGTTGCAGTTCGTTTTTCCAACTGGGCTTTTAAGCAAAAACTACTCCTATTTTCCACCTAACCTCCTAGTCTGTTCTGGCATCTGTTTTCTTTTTTTTTCTTTTTAGGCGATGAACTGGTGTCCTTGGCAGTCCAAAGTCCTAGCTACGGGGGGTGGAATGAAGGATGGGATTTTGCGTGTCTGGGACATAAATCGTGAGAAAATCATCCAAAGTGCAGCTACAGATTCTCAGGTGAAATGATGAAATGTCTGCATACTTAGGCTATGCACTTCTTGTATAGCTGTGCTTATTTGGCAAACTCCCACTGACTTTGAGGGTGGTTCTGCGGTCAGAGGAGCAGCAGGATTTTCTCTGGATGTGCTCTTGTGCTACATTCGGCACTGCAGTGTGTGATTTGACTGAGAAGCAGTTGTTTCTCATTTCACCACTTCTGTCTCCACACAGAAGTGGTTGAAGAGAAGGTGGTCTCGCAGCCAGACGCTTCTCATCATCTTTTTCTTATTGTCAATAATAGTTTTGGCCAAAACTCTTGATGTGAAGAGAATGTTGAGGGGGAGGGAAAATTCCCAGAGTGCTAGGGTGAGAAGAGGTGTAAGGGTCAGAGGGCAAACATCCGTCTCTGGAGTTTGAATATTAGGAGACAGAGGAACAGATTCTCAGCTGGAGTAAAGCAGCATAACTGCTGATTTTCCTGGAGCTATTGCAGCTTAGCTGAGGATGTGTTTGAAAGGCTTTGGTTTTGTACTGTTAGACTGTAACCATGTTTAGATAGGACAATAAGCAACTGTACTTTGAAGTGTTGTAAGGAATGAAATGATCCTGCTAAATAAGTAAATATTCTGCTGGGACTATTTCTCAGTAGCTTGTTTAAACATTGTAGATAACATTTCAAATCTACTGAATGTTGTATGTTAACACTTTCTGAAAACTGAAGCAGAATTTTAAATTGCTATAGATCTGTTCTTTGCTCTGGTTACCCAAAACCAGTGAACTGATGACTGGACAAGGCCTTCCTGGAAACCAGATGAAAATATGGAAGTATCCCATGCTTATCAATTCATCAGAACTCTATGGCAAGTATTTCAGTTAATAATTTTAACTAGTTCAGTTAACAATCTGTCTAATCAGTTTGTTTTTTCAAGTGCATGCCTTACACATTTGCATTAAAAAAAGAGTTAAAAGAGCAGTCACCTGCACATCCTCCCTCAGCCTACACACATGCATTTCTGTGCACAATCCTGATTCTTGGGATTGTAAAGGTTGACTTATTAAGATAGTAGTATAAGTTGCTTTTGTAAAATTCCTTGATTTTAATGATGGGATTCTCTCCTGTCATTTTTAAGGGCATCCCAGGTGCAGGATGTGGATTTCCACTTCCCCCTAAGGCTTACTAGGCCTGGACTGAGTGTGCTAATGTCAGGTTGCTTCCAATATATTCCAGGCTGATGGCCTTCTAGATACACAAACTAGATATGGCTCTTTGATTTTGCAGCTCATCATGGGAGGATACCAAACCAGCTTCCAAATGATGAAATAAATCTCCATTTGTTATTTAGAGCTGTCTGGGTTTTAATGAATGATTTTGGCTGTGAAGCGATGCGGTGCAGCATGTTTCCCTTGTACCATGCTGAGGAAAGTGACGTCTCCTTGCAGCTCTGTATTGGTCCATGGTGCTGTAGGGCTACACTACACATAAAAGTTGTTCCTTGCTATTATTCTTGTTTCTGGTGCTTGGTGTTGCTCCTATCCATTAAGTTTTACTTGTTTCAGTGTTAACTGAAGTGATCCAATAGAAGCATCTGAAGTTAAGGGAAAATAACAGATTATTTGCATACTGGCTGCATTTTTCCATGTGTGGTTGTTTTTTCACACTCACTGACAAGATAAGGCCAGTGAAGCTTTGTATTTTTAACCAGATGGCTGATATTTACAAATACTTTTAGTAGTTTGCTACATTTGAAGGCATTTATTGAATTCCCTATTCAGTGAATCCCACCTATACTGGGATGCTGTCTTTGGAACCAGGGACTTGAGTGGAACCAGGGACTTGGCTTCAACACTAGTCTGTAAGAGGAAAGCACAGGAGAGTCAAAACAAAGATGTCCAGAAGAGAGAGGGCAGCAGAGGCATGTTCATCTGGTTATACTGTATCCTTGTGCGATACTGCTTGTCTGTGTTGCTTTTCCTTCCTCATCCCTCCTTGTTTACGTACAGCTCTTAAGGTAGTGCCTGTGGTGTTCTGAGAATGATCTGGAAAGTGACATGATCATTAGTCTTAACTACTGTAGCTTGAGGTTTCTCAAATCTTTGTAAGTCTTGGATACGCTATTTGAAATGAAACCTAGATTTAATCTTACCTTTGAGAATAGTGTGTGGTGTAAAACATTTACCATCTAAGTCAAATGCATTGGTAATTTGGTGAAGCTAAAGGGTTACTTACCATCCTGTTTCCTATTCAGTTTTATTGTCTACAAGAGAAAGTAACTTTCGTGAACAAAAAGACCGGGTAATTGTTACAGGTACATT